AGCGTTACAACAGTGATAGATGCTGGTATCCAGGATCCCTACTGCTCTAAAACAAATGTTTTCATTCGAACCACGGGGTATACAAACTCACTATCAACTATCAACTGACCAGAATTAGACAGTTAAGCGGCTAGATCCCCTTCCATTGGAGAATACCAATACTTGGAACCGTACTGAAAGAACAAGAATCGAGCGCAAAGAAATCGGTTGTTTGTATTTCATCTCATGAAAGAGATATTGGATATTGGATCTTAGCGAAAACGATCCAAAACAGTGTATTTGGTTCCAAGAGACTGTGCCGCCTAACTTTGCGTTCCTATTTATGACTCAATACTGTACTTACCACATGAAAAGCTGATTGGTTTGATAGGGTGGAGTGGCTATAGCTTTGTGATGTTCAAGTTATTGTTAAATGTATGTATGCATTGATAGCCTTTGCGTAGTTTCAGATTTCTGATACCAATTTCGTCAGATTGCAACATATTCCCTCTTTGTGGTGGTACTTCACCGTGACTTAGATTGTTTTGAGTTTCTTACTTACTTACTTACTTACGCCTGTTACCCCCAATGGAGCATAGGCCGCCCACCAGTTTTCTCCAACCAACTCTGTCCTGGGCTTCTCTCTCCAGTTCTGTCCAATGTTTGTTCATTCCTCTCATATCTTTCTCTATTTCTCGGCGTAATGTATTCTTTGGCCTTCCTCTTTTCCTTTTGCCTTGAGGGTTCCATGTGAGGGCTTGTCTCGTGACGCAGTTAGGTGCTTTTCGTAGAGTGTGTCCTATCCACTTCCACCGCTTCTTCCTGATTTCCTCCTCTACTGGAATCTGGTTTGTTCTCTCCCACAGTTCGTTGTTGCTGATCGTGTCTGGCCAACGAATACGAAGTATTTTACGTAGACAGCTGTTAATAAACACTTGTATCCTCTGGATGATGGCTGTCGTAGTTCTCCATGTTTCCGCTCCATACAGTAGAACTGTCTTCACATTTGTATTGAAAATCCTTATTTTGGTGTTGATTGATATCTGTTTGGAGTTCCAGATATTTTTCAACGGTAGCCCTTGCTTTGCTAATCCGCGCCCTCACATCTGCATCGGATGGACCTTGGTTGTCGATGATGCTGCCAAGATATGTAAAGGTGTTAACGTCCTCCAAGGCATCTACATCAAGAGTGATTTGATTGGTGCATGTTGTGTTGCATCGGAGAATTTTGCTTTTTCCTTTATGTATGTTGAGACCTACTGCTGCAGAGGCTGCTGCTACACTGGTCGTCTTCTCTTGCATTTGTTGTTGAGTGTGCGATAGAAGAGCCAGATCATCTGCGAAGTCCAGATCGTCCAGCTGCGTCCTAACTGTCCAGTTGATACCGTGCTCCCCTCCAGATGTTGACGTTTTCATAATCCAGTCGATGACCAGGAGAAAGAGAAAGGGTGAGAGTAAGCAACCTTGCCTGACACCGGTCTTAACCTCAAAAGAGTCAGTTAGCTGTCCTCCGTGCATGATTTTGCAGTTGAATCCATCATAAGAGTTCCGTATGATGTTGACTATCTTCTCAGGCACACCGTAGTGTCGAAGAAGCCTCCAGTGTTTTCCTGTTTACGCTATCGAATGCTTTCTCGTAGTCAATGAAGTTGATGTAGAGTGGTGAGTTCAATTCAATTGATTGTTCCACAACGATCCATAATGTAGCAATTTGGTCAGTACACGATCGATCCTTCCGAAATCCGGCCTGTTGATCTCGAAGTTGGGAGTCTACGAAGTCCTTCATTCGGTTTAAAAATACCCTGTTGAAGACTTTGCCTGGTATTGAAAGAAGAGTGATACCTCTGTAGTTCTCAAACTTGCTCAGGTCGCCTTTCTTTGGTATTTTGATCAGGTATCCCTCTTTCCAATCTGATGGTACTTGTTCCTCATCCCAAATCTTCTTGAAGATGATGTGAAATATTTTCGCAGTTGCCTCTACATCTGCTTTCATTGCCTCTGCTGGAATGTTGTCTGGTCCTGCTGCTTTGCCGCTCTTGATTTGTCTGATGGCCATACTGATCTCCTCAATCGTAGGTGCGCCAATATTAATTGGAAGATCCGTGGATGCTGCTTCGATGTTGGGTGTGTTCAGTGGAGCTGGTCGATTCAATAGTTCCTTAAAGTGCTCTACCCACCTATTTCGCTGTTCGTCAGTGTTGTTGATTACTTTGCCTTCCTTGCTTTTCAATGGTCGTTCTGGTTTACGATAGTTCCCGGCGAGCTTCTTTGTAGTTTCATACAATTGTCTCAAGTTTCCGTCTCTTGCAGCCTTTTCCGCCGTCGTTGCTAGATCTTCCACGTATTTTCGTTTGTCAGCTCTGATGCTCTTCTTCACTTCCCTGTTTGCTTCTGTGTATGCAGCTTGTGAGGTAACTTTCTCCGCTCTTGTTCGGCTGACATTGATTGCTGCTTTCTTGTTCCTCCTTTCTTCAATTTTTGCGAGAGTATCAACAGAGATCCATTCCTTGTGATGGTGTTTCTTGCGACCAAGGACCTCCTGACATGTTGAAGTGATTGCCTCCTTAATCCCTTTCCAACTGTTCTCCAATGTTGAGTCCTCTTTATTGTGTAGATCCTGAAAGGCCTGGAACCTATTGTTGAGGGCTATCTTGAATTCATTGAGCTTTACAGTATCCCGAAGAAAGGCCGTATTAAACTTGTGTGATGTTGTCTGTCCCGTTGTCCAGTGCTTCTTTAGTTTCAGTTTCATTTTGGCGATTAGCAAATGGTGATCTGAGGCTATATCAGCTCCTCTCCTGGTTCTCACATCCTCCATAGTCCTTCTGAACGTTTTGTTGATACAGATATGATCAATCTGGTTTTGAGTAGTGTGACCCGGTGAAATCCATGTAGCTTTGTGCGTTTGTGCGGGAATATTGTGCCACCGATGACCAGTTTGTTGAAGGCACATAGGTTTGCAAATCTCTCACCGTTTTCGTTCCTTTCTCCCAGTCCATGTCGTCCCATGATGTGTTCATATCCAGTGTTGTCCATTCCAACCTTGGCATTCAGGTCTCCCATTAGAATCGTCAAATCCTTTGGTGAACATTTCTCGATGATTGACTGCAGCCTTTCGTAGAATTGATCTTTATCGTTGTCATTGTAGTCGTAGGTAGGTGCATAACATTGGATGACGTTCATTGTAATGTCCTGTTTCTTCGTTTTGAAGGATGCTTTAATGATCCTGGGTCCATGAGATTCCCATCCTATTAGTGCCTTTTGTGCATGTTTGGACAGCATCAGTGCAACTCCTTGTGTATGTGAAGCATTTTCCTCTTCATGACCAGAGTATAACAGCAGTTCCCCTGAAGCTAGTCTCAGTTGTCCTACTTGTGTCCAATGTGTTTCACTGATTCCAAGCACCTCGAGGTTGTATCTTTTCATTTTCGCCGCAACTTGAAATAGTCTTCCAGTATCCCACAATGTACGAACGTTCCATGTACCTAAAAAAATGGTTGCTCTGGTTGTCAGAAGAGGCATCAGCCCTGTGACTTCCGAGGGAACTCGGCTTTCATCACGCGACGTCATAATTCTTCCTCCATCTCCCAGGGCAGAGTTAAAATGGTTTGAATTATTTTTTCTGGTTAGCGTTTTTTGGCAAGTTGGTTTTTGACGGAATGGGGTCGCCAACCCCATGTCCAACCCTCCTCCTTTACCCGGGCTTGGGACCGGCAGTAGCCCCGAAGGTTCTACTGGCGGAGTTGTTTTGAGTTTCAGTTTTGGCTAAATGTCGATACCGGCTTTGAATGTTTCTGACATTTCTAGGTGGGCAAAAAAAGTCCGCACCGTGTGGCACTTAGCTTTTCATATGATTGAGAATGTACATCGCCACCCATCCTCCTGTTCTCAGCGCCATGCAATGTTATGAAATTGTCATGCCTCGCATCCTTACTTTGTCTTTCGTAACATTGTCGTGAGAACCATGTTTGAATTATAACTATGATCTTCGCAACGCACCTTTTCGGTCTCTTTTAGTCTACCTATGAGTCTCCTTGCTTTTCTGTAGAGTGATTTGACTGTTTATCACCGTAAACGTTTGTTTCAGAGCAGTACGCTTTTTGGAGCTATTAAGTTATCAGTTAATTGCAATGTGGAGAAAACTTCAAGGGACAATGACGGAAAAATCGTAACGCTGATAATAAGGAATTCAGAACTGCGAAAATAAATGGATGAATAAGTTAAATAATTGGTAGTAAAATTGTTTGAAAGGACCGAACTGTAAAAAGGAGACAGAGATTATAAGGGAGATAGATCAAGTTAGTGATCTGTGGAAATTGCTATAATAACAACTAGTAGATCTCAACACCAGGCATCAGACACAGCTTGTCCGAGAGGACACTGCTGATCCATATATGAATACGTGCTCATCAGGTCTCTTCTTGAAACTATCCATCGATGTGGCTGTTGTTAGCTTCGCTGGAAGAGCATTCCAAGTTGCAACAACTCTTGGTAAGTAAAAGTGTGCACGAACCTTTGATGCGCAATTTTCGGAGGATTACATTGAAGGGCGATGTGGTGACGCTTTGTAAGATGCTCATGTTGAGATTAATTAATGTATTTAATATGTTGTACGCCATTATCAGACCATCTCTGATTCTCCTGTAACTCAGGGAGAATAATCCCAAATGCTGGAATCCATCTTCACAAGTTTTGTTCTTCAATCTTATCTCCCATTTCCTTCCAGGTCTCTGCACTCGTTCTTAGAGAGTTATGTCCCTTTCAAGGCGAGAGGGTGTGACGACATTGTAAAGCTCAAGGTTTATTAAATAAAGTTAAGGAAAGTTCTGTGGTGATAACACGAAGATAAACATTCTATGATTAGATGAAAGTCGTACCCAGGAAATCACCAGAAATGTCTAAAATGTAGTTTTCTGTTTATGAGATGAAAATTTTATATTGTTTTCACTTTATATGACGCTTGTTTAAACGTGTTGAGTTTACTTGAAACCAACAGACAATGTAACGGCGCTGTTTTCTGAGGAATGGATTTGAAGATTAAGGCTATTGAATATTTCAGCAACAACAATATTTTGAAAGAACTTGAAAATGCCTTACAACTTATGTTTCAGGATAATGCTTCAGATCCTTCCGGTTATTTAGTAACTGCTTTTGATTAACTAACCTTTTACAGAGCATGTATTTTGAAAAAATATCCATAATTCCGAAAATTGTTAGCATCAACTTAGACAGATCTTATTCTTGTTTTGGAGGCTTATCACGTTTTTTGAATATATGTACACTTTGGAGAACAAATACTGAGGTTTTTTGATGATTTTAATCGCTAAATTTACTGAAGGTTACCACTCGAGTAAACTATGTATATGGCTGCAATCGTTGTGGAAACAGTTTGGATGAAACAGCACCACCCGAATTCTCAGTTTGCGTAAAATCAGTTATAGACTTACTTAATAAGTGCAGCTGGTTACCAATGGAGATGATTGAAATTGATAAATTTATCAGGTGATAACTCTTTAGTGTGTCACTACTCTTTATCGATTAGATTTACTTTCCATAAATACTATCTGTCGTACAAGCATTGTCTAAAGTAGCTGTGTGAATTTCTGAAACAAATCTCTGTTATTACGCAGAGACTGATTTACAAGCCTTTACTTTTTTTCCAACCTTTGGAAAAAAAGGTCTTTATTATCCTTCTATTTGTCTTACACTGTTATTATCCCAGTGTAGGCTTACTAGCACCCACATGACTGGACACTTGCTTGTAGTATTTAGGGATGTTTATGCTGAGAAGAGTTTAACATAAAAACTAACTAGCACTTCGGATTTATATATCCCCCAACCTTAGTTAACTGGTATCTGAAATAAATTCATCGAACTAAATCCACATTTGGCAGTGAATTCGAGAAAGTATGGCGGAAAACTAATCCCAATCGGTCTAAAATTCGATCAAGATAGTAAACTGGGTTAATCTTGGTAATATATGCGCTACTAAACAAAAAACTTATGTCTGTTGATCATACATTTCTTTTTTTGTTATGGAGTCATTTCTGGGCGCCGGATGTCAACCATCTTAGCTTCTGACTTTACGTTCAGTATAACTACCCCAGCTGGGGGAAAAGTCATTTTAACCATATGTCGTCATTTTTTAAGAATAAAGTTGAATATAGTTTTTATGTCGTACGTTTGTGTTGTCATCTCTAACTTTGACGTAGACATGAAATCAGCACTTGGCAAGGTTGTACACAGCTACAAAGAAACGACATGTCAAAGTACCTCTAACAGTAGTTGGAAATAATTGTTTACTCTGCTTGCGGTAATTTAACATAAACGCATATGTTAAGAAGTTTTAGACAAATATGTTTAATCCATATTTGATATAACGTATCATCTCGTCAAACCGTACTCTTCATGTATATTGTAAGGAAAGACAAAGAATTTTGAATTTTGAAACATTATGAAACGATCAGTTGGATGAAACTCACCACTTTACATAAAATTCATTAACTGCAAGAAACCACTTAATAGTTTGCATAGGGCAACACTATGGTGGCTTTTTCGACACTATGGCTTGTATGGCAGACAGATAAAACGCAGAACTACGTACGTAAGTACATCAGTTCAGGTTGCCATGCCCCATCAGTACAGAGACGCAACTGTATGAGAAAATAGTCAACATCATACAGAATTTTACGATAGATTAAACTGTGAAATTGTAGACGGAGGACAGCTGACAGACTCGTTCGAGGTGAAGATTGTTGTCAGGCATGGTTACTTACTCTCACTATTTCTCTGTCTCGTAGTGATCGACTAGATTATGAAGACGTCAGCATCTGGAGGGAATCGCGGTACTCAGTAGGCAGCTAGGACGCAGCTGGACGATCTGGACTTCGCAGATGACATGGCTCTTCTATCGCACAAGCATCAACAAGTGCAAGAAAATACGACCAGTGTAGCAGCAGCCTCAGCAGCAGCAGGTGTCAACATACACAAAGGGAAAAGCAAGATTCTCCGATGCAACACAACATGCACCAACCAAATCACTCTTGATGGAGATGCCTTGGAGGACGTTAACACCTTTACATATCTGGGCAGCATTATCGACGAGAAAGGTGGATCGGATGCAGATGTGAGGGCGCGGATTGGCAAAGCAAGGGCTGCATTTCTACAGTTGAAAAATATCTGGAACTTTAAACAACTTTCAACCAAAATCAGAATCAGGATTTTCAATACAAATGTGAAGACAGTTCTACTGTATGGAGCGGAAACCTGGAGAACTACCAAAGCCATCATCATGCAGAAGATACAAGTGTTTATTAACAGTTGTTTACGCAAAATACTTCAGATTCGTTAGCTAGACACTATTAGAAACAACTTACTGTGGGAAAGAAAAAACTAGATTCCAGCGGAGCAGGAAACCAGAAAGAAGCGTTGGAACTGGATAGGATACACACTTCGAGAAGCATCCAACTGCGTCACAAGACCAACCCTCACTTGGAACCCTCAAGACAAAAGGAAAAGAGGAAGTCCAAGGAACACATTACACCGAGAAACAGAGAAAGATATGAGAGGAATGAACGAAAACTGGAAAGTACTCGAAAGGAAAGCCCAGGACAGAGTAGGCTGGTGAATACTGGTCAGCGACCTATGCTTTAATGGGGGTACTAGGCGTTGGTAAGTAAGCAAGTAAGTTAATATGTAAGTAGGTAAGTAAATAAGTAAGTGAGTAAGTAAGTAAGTGTATTCTACATGCATTCAGAAAATATGAGGTTTACACAAGCACAAAAATCGAGTTTATTTATGCAAGATAAACACATCCTTGAGAGAGCCACAAAAATAGCAGCATACTAAAATAATACATCAACCAATAACATTCAAGTATTTTCCAGGTAAGAAATGTAATCTCAAGGTCAACTGAGCAGCCCTTGTGCGTAAACACAAAGTCAAATATAATATGATTGTATTTTAAACATTTTTTTCCAATAATTTTAGAAACTTTTACAACAACTATCAAACAAAAAAATTACAAACTGAACAAATTGAAGAAACAAAGAGAGAAATCGAAAATACTGGTTCCAATGCCATTTCGTCAAAATCGAAATCAGCACAAAATTCCAAGTAAATTTTTTTGATGATAGTTGTTAATTTACCATTTTTGTTCACTGAAATAAAATGTTTAGTAAATGTAGACTTTCTGGTCAAAGGTGGCCAGACCAAAACATGGCACAAATCCATGAAGTCACTGACAACTGGACTGGGTCATGTCGGTAGGTGTCGACTACCTGGTTGATGCCTGTGAGATGCTAGTAATCAATGGTTATAGACCGTAACTTACATGGCTGAAAACCGTTTGCGATGACGCAGCGGCATTCATTCTTTGTGTTCTCTCAAATCCCAAAACTTCATCGAACCCTAATCTCTCCGATTGACTGCTAATACTGTGGTGCGCGCTACTTATAAGTAGTATATGACGTGAGTGTAAACGTAAAGTCTGGCAGCAGAAGATATGGGAAGATCAAGAAAGGAAGAGTGGGAACACAATGGAATTTGTATGAAACGCAGGAATAGTGAAATGTCAGACAATGGATTGATGATGGATTGAAGATTTGCAAATTAACCGTTTACGATATGGTTTTCCCATTTTACTGAGTAACTCTGTAATTTTCGTTAAATACAATTCGGTTGCCCTCACCTTTGTTCTCCTTCACTACAATACCTTTACTACCTCTACTACTATGCGATTTGAATTGACAATTACGTCTCTGTGCTAACTTGATATAGCAGGATGAACTGATGTACATACGTACGTCGGTATGTATGAAGTTCTACGTTGAGACTTTTTAGTACATCTGAAGTAAACAAGTTTCAACCAATGAACTGAAGATATTTTGTGGTTATAGTTATTAGAAAACTTAGTGAACACTTTGAAATTGAACAAGATGCAAATTGCTTACTGATCGATAAAATCGGACACCAATTCACTGGAGACATTCTCTTTCCAAATCAGAACACCGTTGAACAGGAAAAGATAGATTATATTTCAATAACAAGGTTAGAATGGAAGACGTTAGTATACTTATAGTTCTCTTATATGAAAAGATTCTTGAATGTTCCCTTGGTATCGGCTAGCGCTGATTGGATACGAAAGAGCCAATCAGCGTGCAACAACGCGATGATGCTTTAATCCAATCTATGTCCCACTAACATACAGGCACCAAACAAATCATAGAATTTATGTGTTAACTGGAATACTAACCAAGGTTGCCAAGTCAAAACAGATGGTTTTCTCAGATGACCATTCCCCCAAAGGTCTAATCGACAAGACAGTTGAGCAGTGTTAGGGGAATGCGATCACATTTTAGCTGGTGACTGGTGATAGGGTTCATACGGCACTAGTTTCATTAGGATCCTCTCGGGCTCATGCACATGCTGTTGATTTAGAATGCAGCTTTTCCTACTACCATAGATCGATTCTATGTACCCATCAACTTGGTTAGAGCTCTTGATGCTTGCTTTTAGTGAGAAGACAATGAGTAGCTTGTCCTATCTACCTCCAGTGTTTTTTGCTGATTCCTTCCTCAACTGGAATATGATTTGTAGGTTGCGACTGATAGTGTCTGATCAACGGATCCGGATCTCGATCTTATGTAGACACCTGTCAATAAACACTTGTATCTTATGGATGATGGCTTTCGTAGTTCTCCAAGTTTCAACTCCATACAATAGAACAGTTTTGAAGTTTGTATTGAAAACTGTGACTGGTTTCGGACTGGTTAGTTGCTTGAAGTTCTAGATGATCTTCAATTGTAGAAATGTTGCCAATCTTGCTTTGCCAATCTGCGCCTTCACATCGGCATCAGTTCCACCCGGTTTATCATTGATGTTGCACAGGTATTTAAAGGTTAAAAAAATTACCGACAGCTTCTCCGTCAGGTGTGTTGTGTCGGAGAATCTTGCTTTTTTCTACTGCCCGAGTTCAGTTGTTTGTGGATCAGTAGTTTTTGGGCGGTCCTTGTTCATCATTGGTCGTTCCGGTTCACGATATTTTCCAAAGCGCTTTTCCTTCGTATTACATAGGTGACTCACGCTTCTTTCTCTTGCACGTTTTTCTGCTGACGTGTCTAGATCTTTGTTAGGATATTCATCCAGTATCCTAAGAGAATTATTGGCCGATTCCTATTGGTTAATTCCTACTGGTCAATTTTATGATCGTCCTAGATATCAGTGTCACGTGCTCCAGTGCTGCTTCTTATTGGTTGTCCCGAATATCAATGTCACTTCAAATGTTGCTTCCTATTGGTCGTCTTAACTGTTAATGTCACACACTTCGATGCTGTTTCCTGTTCAACCAAAATGTATAAATATGCATTATCTGTAATGTTATATGACCAGGAACAGGACCATTACCCAATCCCAGATCCCTAGTCCGGGACCCTGATTCTCTTCTGGATTCGGACCTCGTACTTTTTGGATGCTTGTAGGATACAGGTTCTACTTCATATCATGTCTTCTTATTTTCACTCAATATGGGTGTTGGGATAATCAGATTAGAGTAGCATGTCGTGTCACCGGATCCTCGATCTTCGCTCTCGTTTTCCGACTAAGGTAAACTCGTAATAGTTCAAGTATATCAAGTTGACGTGTTTACGTGCAGGCGTGACACAACTTCTGCTTTATTATTATTATTTAACATACACGTTATTGATCGCCTCACTTTAAATTTCGCGCAAAAATTACTTTGAATCGATAAAAGTAAACCATTGAACAAGTTTTTTTGTAGAGCGAAATTTAATTTGTTTATTATGATATTTTTTCACATTATCTGTATAAAATTTATTTATTTTTCACTATAGAAAGAAATCTACCAAAGATATTCTACCGGTTATTTCAAATCAACTCATTTCATTGGCACCGCTAATTGCAACCGATTTAACATGGTTATCAATGAGTTTACATTTAACCGCAGTGAAATGTTCTCGACCTCCGATTAATTGTCAAGTGTATATGCAATCACTTTATAATGAGGTAAATAAATATTTATAACAGTTCATAAGAACTCTTCAGCAGTGGGCACCAACGAACTCCATTGCTCGTGGGAGTCGAATCCAGGACTTTTGATCTTGAGCGATAAAGCTTAACTTCTAGATCACTGACCTGTTATCCGAAGGTGTTAATGGCTGCCTTTAATCACTCCTTGATATTGAGTAATCTCACCCGTGGTTTTTTCGGTAGTTACTGCATACACCTGACAGGTTTGTCTGTCAGTCAAACAGTTACAACGTGGAAATTTGTACGCACGTACATCAGTACATCCTGTGAGGTGCAGGAGTCGTGGATGAGCACTGCTTAAAAGTCCCAAACCAGGACGAAACGGCCATCTTTCAGTGCTTCCAGGTTTCTAATGATGTAGGTCTAACAATGATTGATTGATGATTTCAAATGTGTAAAAACTAATCTAAACACCGTACTACCAAACAAACATAAAATTTGAAATATTATTTTTTAGTGGGACATAGATTGGATTAAAGCATGATTGTGTTGTTGCATGCTGATTGGCTCTTTCCTATCCAATCAGCACTAGCCGAAACTGAGGGAAGATTCTAGAATCTTTTCATGCAGGAAAACTATAAATATACTAACGTCGTTTTCCTTTGGACTGGTCTGTCTTCCTGCTAACCTTGTTACTGGAATATAATATATTTCCGATTCAACCGTGTTCTGATTTGGGGTGAACATCTTGAGTGAATTGGTGTCCGAGAATACTAAGTATCAAGGAATAGCTGGGTTGTATTAAAGCGAAAATGGTAACATGATTCATATTGTATGGAATTTGAAGTGACCATTGCATCTCTGGGTGCTAATGTAGTATGGCAACTTGACTTGATGTACGTACCTACGTACATTTGCCCACTAGTGACTAACTTCGTGAAACAATTCTCGCAGTTTTACTGAGAATTTATGACCAGTAGTGAGAGTTCAAACCCTGTTGAGCAGTGAGTTATCCCACTGAAGTCAATAAATGAAGTCACACTGTGGTGCGCGCTACTTATAAGTAGTATATGACGCGAGTGAAAACGTAATGTCTAGTGGCAGCAGAAGAGGATGGGGGAAGGTCAACAAGAAAGGAAGAGTGGGGGGAACACAATGGAATTTGTATGAAATGCATGAATAAGTGAAATGTCAGACAGTGGATTGATGTTTTGCAAATTAACGGTTACGATATGGTTTTCCTATTTTACTGAGTAACTCTGTAATTTGCGGTTAAATACAATTCGGTTGCCCTCACCTGTGTTCTCCTTCACTCAAACACAATATCGCGGATTGATTGAAATTCAATATGAACACCTCTTGTAAGCGGTTAGTGGATGCGCACTATTATTGATATAACGGTCGTCCTGGTTCTTTCATGTTTCTAATGCTGATCTAACATGGATCATCACTTCATCATTATCAATGAAATTCATGATCAATAAACTTTGAACATCAACTCTTCTCTAATTTTTTTTTCACTCAAGGTCATCAAATCAATCACATCTGACAATAAGCACAATTCATCCAATCACCCAATCAATAATGCAACTCATTTCAAAATCACATGTCCAATAATTACCATACTCAATTGTCCTGGACGTATTGGTGCTTTACAATCTGGGAAATGTAAATTTCTACAAGAAATTCTACTTATCCCAAGGTCAAATTTAAAACCAAAAGAAGTAGATTTAAAATTTTTTTTTAACCAAAACAATGTACTTTCCTCTCTCATCATCATCTAGTTACTTGACAACTTGTTCATGATTAAAACAAAATTATCACAAGTATTATTGAACAAGTCCAATGTAAGTTTTCAAAAAAAAATTTTTTATATTTGTTTGTTTAAATGAAACCACCTAGTTAGCGCCACAAATTATTTGTGATAATGGAGCGTCAAGTGTGAATATTGACAAAGTGGAACAAGCACTGGATTTGCTAGCTGAATTGTTAGAACAAATTCAATTGAAAAATGAATTTTATTTTGGGCTGTATATAACACCGAAAGGAATTTTTGATACGGTTAGTGAATTGTTTTGTTGACGAGTTTAATTTTTCACTATTGGTGAAAAAAAAGTGTTGAAATAAATATTAACATTTTAAGGTTCATATGTTTAAGTAAAGTAAGAAATTTTCCTATTCGATAGTTTAATTTATTGTGCTCTGTGGTCAGCAATAAAATCTGATTGGATAATCACTTGTATGTTGAACCAATCAGCGCAGAGCTTGGAGGTGAATAACTTAGAGTGTCAATAGAATGAAAATAATGCGTATTACTGGGGCGTAGATTGGATTAAAGCATGATTGCGTTGCTGCACGCTGTTTGGCTAATTCTTGTCTAATCAGCGCCACTTGGCGATACTTGGAGAACATTCTAGAAGCTTCCCTTGTGTAAGAGAACCTTAAATATACTAACGTTATCTCTGTTTCACTTCTTACTTTCCATTTCGTCTTGCTATTTGGAATATCTAATCTCTTTCCTGTTCAATCGTGTTCTGATTTGAGGAATTGTCGAGTGGATTGGTGAATACTGATGAATACTAGGCATTATGAATAGCTGAGTTGTAATTTAAAGAGAGAATTTTAGCAAAACGAATATTTATAGTTAGCATTGGGTTATGACTAAACTGTAAGATTAAAGCTGAAAAAAGTGTGTATCATCGAAATTCGACTCTAACACTGAAGGATAGCATTCTCCTAAGAAAACATATCTATGGGTACTGTAGAATGTAGGATATGTGAGAACTGGAAACTGATAAGTCAAATTTCCATACCACATTGGAACGAAGACATGGAATCGTCAATTCAAATCCCATAGTGGTGGAGATAATAGAAGCATTAGCGATAATGGAGAATATCAGGGATCGAAGATATTATTCAAGGAGTATATCCCAGAAGAACAGAGAAAAATCGGTCCACGGGAATTCAGAAGATCAGAATTTGAGAGAACATAAAGAACGAATGCACCTGCGCCATCGCGATTGATTTTGAGCCAAATCAATCAAGGTCTCTAACTATCGGTTAATATCGTCTCTTGGACAATGACCAGTTATTTTGGGGCAGAGATTTTTGGAGTTTCGTGTTTTTACACATTGGAAATCATCAATCAATCATTGTTAGACCACCATTAGAAACCTGGAAGCGCTGGACGGCCGTTTCATCCTGGTGTGGGACTCATCAGCAGTGCGCATCCATGACTCCTGCTCCGCGCAGGATTCGAACCCGGGACCTTCGGCTGAAGAGTCCCATACCAGGACGAAACAGCCGTCCAGTGCTTCCAGGTTTCTAATGGTGTAATAACCAGTTAGTCTACACCTACCAGAATGACTCAATCCAGTAGTCAATGCTTCATGGATTTGTGCCATGTTTTGGTTTGACTACCCGTAGCCCTCTTCTAACTTACTCCTACACTACAAAACATAGCTAGCTCGTCAGCGGCAGTCGGTAGTTAGCAACAAAGATTACTATTCAAAATTAGTCACTAGGTTTTACACCGAGATTTCCTTAGTCGCCTAATTTCTTAAAACACTAAAGTGTTATGATTCATTGAGATCATGAATCCTTGTATGGAACTGTTGAGGATGTTAGATCCCCAGAACTCGCTTGATAAATGCCTTACTTTGGATTCTACGTTAGCCAGCATGGGCTGATCAGTTGACCTTGAGATTTCATTTCCCACCAGGAAAATCCATGGCTGTGATTGGCTGCTGTGTATTTTAGTGTGCTGTTTTCTTAACTATCCCAAGGAGGTCTCTATGATGTATAAATAAACGAGAGTTGTATGCTTGATTGTATTTTGATTGCTGGGTGTTTGTAGAATATACTTTCTACGCTTACAAAGCCTTCTGTTTACAGCTTGGGGATTCAAGGTAGCCGACCTGGACGCTGGTAATTGTCTCGTTCGCGTTTATCGACTAAGGTAAACTTGTAATAGTCTCAAGCATACTTAGTGACGAACATAATAGGAACTTATCAACAGTGCACATTAACGGTTTCCGAAAAAAAATGGAATTTAAACTCAATCATCTACGAAACTCTCATACTGACAATTATCATACGCTCACTAATGACTAATCTCATACGGCGATTCTCCCAGTTCTAGGGGTAAAAACTGTGACCATTGAAGTTTAGCTACATCGAGTATGAAGTAATCATCACCCAACGAGACATAATGAATGATGTTCATGCACATCAGACCTGGTAGTCAGCTCATTAGTAAAGAGTTTATGGCATTTGCATGAGAGAGAGACCTAAGGCACTACTGATGAGTCCGTATTCTACCGACAAAACAGTTACCCAGTATTTTTAAGTTCCTTATGCTGGTCCAACATTGATCAGTTCATGATTTCATAACAATTGAATTACTAGTTTGTCATCAAAATAATCGATTTACTGTTTTTAATTTCTTTTGTAAACAGGTAAAAGAACGTTATGAGCCTATTATAGGCAGTTTAAAAACACCAGAAGAATTGGTGAATTATTATGTAGAACTAATTGGAAAATATCCACAAATACGCTTATTGATTGATCCATTTAGAGCAGAAGTAAGTTCTATACACGATGACCATGATGATCAGAATTCTCTGTTAATCATTAGCTAACTTTAAGTAAGGGTGATTGTAACACACTCGTCTCTAGGTATGCTAAAACTATTACTGGTTCAGCTTAGTCGAATAACGAGAACGAAACAATGAACCAGTGTCCAGGTAGGCTATTTGTGATCTCTTGACCCAAATATACTAGCAAGAAATCTTGATATAGCGTAGGAAGTGTATTCTGCAAACACCTAGCCAGCACACACAATGAATTGAAGCACATAAATCGCGTTTATTTATGCACCATAGAGACGTCCTTGGGACTGTCACGAAAATAGCACACTAAAATAACACAGTAACCAATCACAGCCAAGGATTTTTCCTGGTGGGAGGTATGATCTCAAGGTCAACTGACCAGCCCATGCTCAGAAACATAAAACCCAAAATTAAGGCATTTATCAAACGGGTTCTGGGGATCTAACATGCCCAACAGTGATAGAGTCTACAAGTTAGAAATTATGCATTCAAACTTTGAGTAATCAATCTCGAAGTGATTGTAGTGTGTGTGTGTGTGTGTGAAATCAGTAGGTTGAGTCTAGATGGCTTGTCGTAGCTTTTGGGCAGATTAACTAATCCATTTTTCACGAATTATTATTCAGTTGTCTTTTGAACTTGGAGGGAAAAAAGCCCACTTACTGAAATGTCTAACTATTCTTCGTTAATTCGAGTAATGTCAGTTTATCTGTCGACCGATTAAATAACTTGATAAAGGCTAGAACAAATAAATAACTTTGAGAAGTAACGAGGTCAATTTTTTATTCTCTGAAGATGTATTTTCCCATTATATGGTGTGATTTATTCTTGTATGTGTTACGCATGCACGTAAACACATCAACTTGATATACTTGAACTATTACGAGTATACCTTAGTCGGAATACGAGAGTGAGAATCGAGGATCCGGTGACACGACATGCTACTCAAATCCGATTATCCCAACACCCATAGTAAGTAAAAGAAGACAAGACTTGATATGAAGTCGAACCTGTATTCTACAAGCATCCAGAAAGTACGAGGTCCGAATCTAGAAGAGAATCAGGATCCCGGACTAGGGGTCCGGGATTGGGTAATGGTCCTGTTCCTGGTCATAAAACATTACAGATAATGCGTATTTATACATTTTGGTCGAATGAGAAACAGCATCGAAGTCTGTGACATAGACAGTTAAGACGACCAATAGGAAACAACATTTGAAGTGACATTGATAATCAGGACAACCAATCATCAACGACATTGGAGCACGTGACATTGATATGTAGGACGACCATAAAATTGACCAGTAGGAATTAACCAACATGAATAGGCCAAATATTCTCTTAGGATATTGGATGAATATCCTAGCAGTATGTCTGCTTGAATTATGATAAGTTTTTGTGAAGATTGGCTTCGCGACTGTTAGACCAAGAGTCAGAATAGAATAAAAGAAGTTATTGAGTTAGGGACCATCAAAGATTTTGAAATGACTCTATCAAGCTTGGGGAAACAAGAAATAATAATCTACATAAAAATCCCAAAAGTTGCAACGTCTTCACTACTCTCCTTGTTATAACAGCATGAATTCAGAACATTGTAGTGGAAGTACAAATGTATACAAGATTCATTGAAATTACGTAGTCCTAAGGAGAAATTATTCGAAAAATACCTCAAACTACTTGGTTTTATTAAGTAGTATATTTTAAAATGCTAAATTGTTAGCACAATTTACATAGAAACATGTATCAGAACCAAAAAGCTTCTATTCAATATTTTCGACAGGATATTTTATCGACAATGATCTTTCCATTGTAATATCTTTTAAATTTAGGATAAAGAATGTTGGGCATTATTAAAAACACGTATTACCAATCCAATATGGATTACAACAAGTACAACGATTCAACCTGCTATGAAAGAGTTGTCAGCGAATCAATCAAGTTCAATGGTCACTGCAAAACCTAATCCGACAACCATTTCAACAACACCAATTGATGAACAATGCAAATTTAGTATACCAACTGGTTTAACTATAAATCAGTTAGCAAATTTACAAGAAAACATAATTCATACTCCTGATGATGACGATGCATTTGTGAGTAATGATGTTGACATTATTGAAGATGATAATCATGATTTGAAACAAGCTGAAAATAATAATTTAATTATTCATACTGCAGATAAACAAGATCTATGCTATTCTACTTGGTTATTTACTTTAGATACATGTTTAGATTGTGTATTGATGACAGAAATTATTGAAGCAATTTATAAATTACACTGTAAGTAGTAAGTAGTTATTTGCTGAAATTTTGATAGTTTAACAATTTTCATTGAAATCATAAATCAGGATGATTTATGATGATCGTTTCATCCTAGTATACGGAACTTTTCATCAGTGTGTATCCACGAACCCTTGCTTGTGGGAACTGAACCCAATACCGTCGATCTTGGGCATGAACGTTTAACCTCTATAACCTGTTAGTGGGACATAGGCGGAATTAAAGCATGACTGCGTCAGCTGCGCGCTGATTGGCTAATTGGCACCCAATCGATTCTTGGAGATTAGGGCAGAAAATTCTCGTACTGTTATCTGCATGCTGATTGGCTAAATCTAATCCATTCGATCACGTGAATTTCTATCCAGAAGCTTCTCATGTAAATGCTATAAATAAACAAACGTTGTATCTATTTTTGCTTCTTTGCCCTCGCCATCACATTTGGCTTCCTATTTCCATTTAACCTTTGCTATTTGGAATATAACCTTTTCCTGTTCAACCGTGTTTTTGATTCTTGGGAACTTGTCCAGTGTATTGTGTGGTCAGAGAATACTAAGCAATAGGATTTAGCTGGGAATTATTTAAGCAAGCTTTACAATAATAACAAACCGAAAACCCTCGGTGTTGCATGTGAACGCTGAATTGGCTGTTATCCAATGCTATTTAATAATTAACTTTGGTTTTTATCTGAGAATTGTGCGCAACATCATTCACTATTTGCGGGTAGTTACACAATTCTTTGTTATCACTCTGGACATTATTATCAATAGTAGGTAGGTTAGGTTACGCCTGTTACCTCCGATGGAGCATAGGCCACCAACCAGTTTTCTCGAACCAACTCTGTGTCCTGGGCTTCCCTCTCCAGTCCTGTCCAATGTTTGTTCATTCTTCTACTGTCTTTCTCTATTTCTCGGAGTAATGTGTTCCTTGGACTTCCTCTTTTCCTTTTGCCTTGAGGGTTCCATGTGAAGGGCTTGTCTTGTGACTCAGTTGCGTGCTTGTCGTAGTGTGGCCTATCCACTTCCGACGCTTCTTCCTGATTTCCTCCTCCGCTGGAATCTAGTTTGTTCTCTCCCACAGTACGTTGTTGCTGATCGTGTCTGGTCAACGAATCCGAAGTATTTTGCGAAGACAACTGTTAATAAACACTTGTATCTTCTGCATGATGATGGCTTTGGTAGTTCTCCAAGTTCCCGCTCCATACAGTAGAACTGTCTTCACATTTGTATTGAAAATCCTGATTTTGGTTTTGGTTGAAAGTTGTTTGGAGTTCGAGATATTTTTCAACTGTAGAAATGCAGTCCTTGTTTTGCCGATCCTTGCCCTCACATCTGCATCGGATCCACCTTTTTCGTCGATGATGCTGCCCAGATACGCTTACCTACGTACGAAATATAAATAAGGTTTCATTTATGTGAAATATGCCTAATATCTACATGTCAGTGGTTTTATAAACATGAACCGTCAAACAGTGATTAGTAATGTACTTACTACTAAACGTACAATCATCAAACTAGTGTGACTCGAGACACTAATCGATATCACGTGTTACACATTCCACCAATCAAAATTCTCGTCTTGTCTATATCACGTCCATTATTTCTTCCATCACAGTAGGCTTGTCCAATCAAATTGTCTGACCAGCATTGTTTCACCTTGAACAAACTAATCACTTATTGGTTGACTATCATCAAGGTTTTTGTTGTGTGTCAATGCCACGTTGTGGCTGTGAAAAGTCAATAGGCCTTCATTTGTCCTTTTTGCACTGCATTCAAACATGTTGGACAACCACACAATTATGCATCAACAAATCAATAGTGGTGTCAGTGACTAATGCGGCTGGTGAAAAATCGATTGACCATAAAAGTATGAATAATAATAAGTAGTATAATACGTTTTTAATGAATTCAACGAAAGCTTAATGTAAACAAAACATGTTTAATTATTGATTCAGTGAGCAAATATACAGACAGTAAGCATAGATTTCATTGAAATCATGAATTTGTCAATATGTTAGATCCGTATTAGAAATTGTGGTGGTGTTTGGTTCTCTGAGCTGGATGTTTTGGTTGTGGAGCTTTCATCATTGTTCTTCTGAACAACATCATTAGCACCAACTTCAGATAGATGTGAAGGACAAAATGACAAAGGAAGAAAAACCAAATATCATCTACAAAATAAACAACTGCTCAGACTGTGAAAAACATTACATAGGACAAGGTGGACAGCCTCTTCAGCTTTGTTTAGGTAAACACCAATTAGCAGTTAAGCGCCACGACAACGCTCAGCTTATATCAATACACACCGACAATTATGGACATACTACATTCGATTGGGACAATGTGGAAATACTGGGTAGGGAGAGGATAAAGAACACTAGAGAATTTTTAGAAGCTTGGCACTCAGGTCAATCATCAATCAACAAACACATCGACATTGACTTAATTTATCAACCAATCAGGAAAGTCATAGGTGACATAGGATCAAGAAACAGATTAAAACAGGGGATACAATCAAAACAAAGGTGCAAACAACGACAGGCAACCAATCAAGATCGAGATTAACAGGACAAGCTCGAGGTCAAACATGGAGAAATTCGAATACTTCACTTCTATCTACCTGAAGTTTGTGCTGATGATGTTCTGCAGAAGAACAATGATGAAAGCTCCACAATCGAAACATCCAGCTCAGCGAACCAAACACCACCACCCAATCATCCACCTGAGCTACAATCTTTCTCTAACATCCCACACAAGAAAGCTTGAAACACTGGACAGCCATCTCTTCTCAGTGTGCGACACACTAGTAGTGCTCACCGACGCCCCTACTAGAGGGAATCGAGCCCACCGGGCTGGCATCCAACGGTGTGAATAAAACTCCAAAATCTCTACAACCATTTGATAATAACTTGATAAATAGATCTAACAGTTTCAACTTTGATAATATTCGTCTTGTTTTTAACACAACCAATGTATGCACAAATTTTAATTGTCAATTAATCTGAGAAATGAGACCCTGACATTTTCTTATTATTTTAAAACAAAAAGCTGGTCGTTCATTGTTTTTATATCAAACTATTTTATACTACTATTATTATTATTATTTTTTAATTGAAAGCACAAAATCGAAAAGTGATATTCAGTTTGGATAATTTACAAATTATTGAAGATTGGCCAATGGATATGGTGAGTAATGAGTTCGTGTCTTTTCTTTTAAAAGTCCTGTCTAATTCACTGAAATGTTTAAGGTCATGAACTCATCAAAGTTTAGACAATGATTAAAATCCTGAAAGGACTGGACATGGACGTATTATTCAAGTGTAGTACTTTTCAGCAATGAATATCCACAACCTGGTAACTTGAAATCGAGAGTAGAACATTCAGTCTCTTTCGCTAACCTGTAACCGTTCGTAAGATCACTGATCCTGGTTCCGGTATTGTGTCTCACTTCAGTTAGTCTATGATATTTTGTGACCATCAACCATTGCCTTCGAAGGATAACTTTCACATATTAGACACAGTTGAAAACCACTAGTCTTGACTTAGTGATCGGTAGGTTAATCGTTTGTGGAAGAGACTGAAGATCTTTCATTTGGAACTACTGAGTAGCCTCATACAAGGACAAAACAAGTCAACCCATGTTTACCGGCTTTCAACAGTTGCCTCCTAACCTAGATCGACCATAGTCCCGATAAAATTCACCAGTCTCCATGATCCTTTTCTAACAAGTAATTAATGTGGTTAATTGGAGACATTATCAGAAAAGTAACTGGAAATGTACCAATAAATAGATTAGTTTTCTAAATCTTCAGACATCAGAGTAGGTAGAAAGCTCCATAGTCATTTCAATGAAATAGAGCGTAGTACATATGAGTTGATGAAAACTCTCACATTAAATTGGGATAGTGAGATGAACTCACTCCTGTCATAAAGGAGAACATGAATCGTACACACACAAAAGGTGTTAAGTTCTTTTAAAATTTTTTCGCTTCATTCAGTCCCCAACTATTCAGTTTCTTGTGTTCTGCATTATACTACTTATTTGAATTTAGTAAACTGTTTAATTTCTAAGTCTGTAGTGTAACACCAATTATATAGTTGTGTGATATTTACCAAAACTGTGAATCATTGTTAGACCACTATTAGAAACATAGGAGCACTTGACGGCCGTTTAGTCCTGGTATGATGGTTTAACAATGATTGATTGACGATTTCAAATGTGTAAGAACACTGACCTCCATAAACTCAATCGAAAAAATCGTACTATGTGCTTATTAGTGACTAGTTACGTGAGGAAATTCTCGGAGTTCTGGTGACAAGATGTGACCAATTGAATTCATCCTTGTCGGGTATAGGCAGTAAGTACAAAAGACAATAAAAGAGGTTGCACAAATCCCTAAATTGACCAGAGTTATACATTAACACCGTTGGATGCCTGCCCGGTGGTCCAGAGGTTGAGAGTTCACGCGTAAGACCGAAGGGTTCGAATCTTGCGAGTAGCGGAAGTCGTAGATGTGCACTGCTGATGAGTCCCATACCAGGACGAAACGGCCGTCCAGTGCTTCCAGGTTTTTAACGGTTGTTTAACAACGATTGATTCATGATTTCAGTGTGTAAAAATACTGATCTCCATAAATCCAATGGAGAAAAAACCATGAAACAAACAGTGATAGCAAAAGAGACCATAAAAATGATCAGGTCGATCAACAACTGCAGTCATTTGCAGAGAATTATCCACGAAATAACATCAACATCCTGATGCACACGATCTAAACGCTAACTCTGGGATGAAATGTAGTCTGTAGTAAATACTCCGTCACGCATATAACAGTTATTCTAACTTTTGGACATCAACGGGATTTACTCTTCTCAAGTTATCATACACACATGTTGTTCACTTATAAATCGGACTGTTTTAAGCGTTATTTGTGTGTACTGTTTACTCTATTCATCACATGTTTTTAGCCTATTTCTCTCTGACAATAAATAGCCAGTTATGTTTTATCAAACTGGGTTGGCACACTCACCTTCCTGTTTTTCATCTTAATGTTTGCATGTGTAAACGATGGCATAAAATAAATTCATCCAAATTGAATTCACATTCAACTTTTGATTATCGTCATGGCTCAAACGGGGTTAGCCTAAATATGAGATACTGAATTAACTGGAAGATTTGCGTTCGTGGTACATTCATAAGTGTCGATTAAATAACAGTAGGGATTCATCTTCGACACTACAGAGTATGCAAGAAGATACTCAACGTCATATGAGATTGTTTCAGTGGACAACACTACAAAGTGGTGAATAGAGGGCAGCGCACATTTTTATTCCAAGTGAAGATCAATGACCCTAATCTTCTGGTAGTTGACTGGCTAATCAAGACTTAAACAGCTCAAGGGAAATTTTAGAATGCAGTGAACAGATTGGAATTTACAAAATACCAATCTCTTCTATTCCATATACAGCAACAAACGCCGGCGAAGATAGTCAGTGAAGCAGGAGCCTATTTTTACGCATTAAACTTCAACATACACACGGGAAAAATAAAGATCCTCTGACGCAACATAGCATACATCAAGTAAATCAAACTTGATGGAGAAAGTCTGAAAGTGGTGAAAACCTTTACATATTTGGACAGCATCATTTATTAATTAACGAGGTGGATCGGATGTGAAGATATGAAGACACGGAGTAGCAAAACAAGGGGAACATTTCCACAAATGAAAAACATCTGGAACTCCAAACAACTGTCAACCAACACTAAAGTCACAATTTTCAATACACAAACGTCAACACACTTCTATGTTTTTTGAGCCGAAGGAGAATTTTTACGACTATCGAAAAAATCATTTCATTCTATACAGTTTATGCCGTTTTCAACTCGATTCTTACTAATCAGACTGTTACAGATTCACTGTGTCGACAGAAATCTTGTTACTGTCTAATTATCGTCGAGCATCGACGTAAAACGAGACATCAATGCTTTGAGAGTTTAGATAGTAAGCTTTTCTCAATCAATTTGTACAATCTAAATTTCGGGAAGGACGCATAAGAGTAGGATAGTGTGAAGCAAGTTGTTTTTATTACGTACGAAGTGTAAATTACATATTTGTGCATATGTATGCACCTTACGTCTTTATCTATTCTCTCATTGGTTGTAAACGAAGCCGGTCAGTCACTCCGCCCACATATTGATTACAATTCTTAAAATACACCCACACACACATTCATAGTGATACTAGGAGGATCGGCCTGCTTAAGTTCGGCGTTAACGAGGCATTATATGTATATATGTGTATTTAAACGGCTGTTAATGCAAGGCGCTTCAACTCTGTTCACACAAGACACTATCAACAACAACCTACTGCGTCGGAAAAAACAAACTCACTTTCAATTTCAAAAGGAAATTATCTTACAGAGAAATATTTTTCGGTACAGTAACTCATTCAATTAAGAAATCAATCGAATTCAAAACTTAAATATAATATTAGACCACTATTAGAAACCTGAAAGCATTGGACAGCTATTTCATCTTAGTCTAGGGGGCTCATGAGCAGTGCGCATTCATGAACTCCGCACGTGGCGATCAATCCATGATATTTAGTCTCGCGCACAAACGCTTGACTTCCATGCCAATGAGCTGGTAACAAACAGTGTCAATGTCTGGCTTCAATTAATCCACGACGATATTTCTCGACCTCATCCATTGTCACCGATGTGTAGCTGTCTCATAAACCCAACAGCATGTGTCCAGTAGTGACTAGGTTTATGACCAGTTGTGACCAATGGAGTTCAACCTTGTTGGGTGTCAGGCGGCTACCTACCTGAGACAATGGATAAGGTCGCGCAATATGGTGGGTTGATTGAAGCTAGACATTGATATCGTTTGATGCTAGCTCAGTGGTCTTGGAGTTAGAAGTACGAGATTGAAGGTCCTCCTCTCAATTCCTGTGTATAGAGAGGAGTCATGAATGCATACCGAGGATGAGTCCCATACTAGCACGAAATGACCATCCAGTCTTGGTGGATTTTTAATAGTTGATATAAATTTGATCGATTCATGATGATTTCAACAAAGTAGTAGTGTGGTGTGTGCTACTTATACGAACGATATAAGTAGTATAAGAATGGACGTGAAAGAAGAAGTCTCACGGTCAGAAGAGGAAAACGGAAAGCAAATAGAGCAAAAACAAGAAAGAAATAGAGCATCGACAGGAAGTAAAGGAAGCAACAGCAAGAATGGAAGAAGGCTGGAGCGTTGGAAGTCAGGACTTAAAGATGGTGTGCAAATGGAGTAGTGTTCAATGTGATGTTACCTTTTTTAACTGACTAAGAGTGTAAATTGGCCAAATACAATCTATTGAGCCTGCCTCAGTCTTCTCAGTAGTAACTCAACAACACTCTTGTTAGGATATTTATCCAATATCCTAAGAGAGTTTTTATTGGTCAAATCCTATTAGTCGATTTCTATTAGCCAAGATTATGGTCGTTTTAACCGTCAAAGTCCAAAATACTTCAATGTTGTCTGTTATTGGTCATCCGGACTGGCAATGTCACTTCCTATTGGTCGTCTTAACTGTCAATGTCACAGAATTTGATGCCATTTCCTATTCGACCAAAATGTATAAATACGCATTATCTGTAACATTTGATGACCAGGACCAGGAACCGGTCCGTGATCCTGATTCTCTTCTAGATTCGGACCTCGTACCTTCTGAATGCTTGTAGAATACAGGTTCCACTTCACATCCAAGTCTTCTGATATTTTTTTACTCAATATGGGTGTTGGGATAATCGGATTCGAGTAGCATGTCATGTCACCGGATCCTCGATCCTTCGCTCTCGTTTTCCGACTACTAGATAAACTCGTAATAAATAGTTCAAGTATATCAAAAGTTGACGTGTTGACGTGCAGGCGTAACAACTCTCTACAAACATAAAATTCAAATCAATCAATATTAAAATAGACAAAATGATCTGAGAGCGATAACATTAACTAATAATACTTCTAGTCCTTATTTTAAAATAATGTAAATCAGGCAAGAACGGTTTTTTTCTAATTTTATTTATTTACTCATTCAAAATATCAGACAAAAGTGTGGTATATTATATATATATATATATATATATATATATATATATATATATATATATATAATCGGAAAGAATGAAGTATTTACTTTGAATACACGAAAAAATATTAATAATTGGCATCGATCGCTACACACTTTAACACATCCACATCACAAAGTGGTAAGATGAAATTTTTATTTTTGACGACACAAATACTTCAGCAGACTAATCGACTAATAAATAATTGTACTGATGATAATTAAATTAAGATGAACAACAAGTTTAGAAAGATTAATAAATTTACATAACTCACAAATATGATAGGATGATTTGAAGATTCAAAAATCTAAAGAAACATACGAAGTGTATGTGTACGCATTTTGAACGATTGAAAATGATGACTCCAGCTCATACAATCAAATATCTCTTGCCATTAATTGTAAGTGGACAGCTAGAATGATGTTGGACGATCTAGACATCACAGATGATCTGGCTATTTTATCAAGGCACACGCAATAACAAATACAAGAGAAGACGATCAGTGTAGCGGCGGCCTTTGAAGCAGTACATACACAAAGTGAAAAACGAGACTGTTTGATACGAAACAACATGCACTGACCAAATCACACTTGATGGAGAGATGCCTTGGATGACGTAAAAAGCTTCGCATATCTGAGCAGCATAAATAAATGATGAGCATGGTGAATTTGATGCAGATGTGAAGGCACGGATCGGATAAGCAAAGGCATCAATTGAATGGAACACACCAATCTACATCAACTTCATTGACTACGAGAAAGCATTCGATAGCGTGGATAGGAAAACACTGTGAAGGCTTCTTCGGCACTAAGGTTTTCCCTTAGAAAATTGTTAACATCACACGGAATTCTTATGATTGATTCAACTGCAAAATCATACATGAAGAACAGCTAACAGACTCTTTCGAGGTGAAGACCGGTGTCAGGCAAGGTTGCTTACTCTCACCCTTTCTCTTTCTCCTGGTCATCGACTAGATTATGAAGACGTCACCATCTGGAAGGGAGCACGGTATTAAGTGGACAGCTAGGACGCAGCTGGACGATCTGGACTTCTCAGATGACCTGGCTCTTCTATCGCACAAGCATCAACAAGTGCAAGAAAATACGACCAGTGTAGCAGCAGCCTCTGCAGCAGTAGGTCTCAACATACATAAAGGAAAAAGCAAAATTCTCCGATGGCGCAACAGAACATGCACCAACCAAATCACTCTTGATGGAGATGCCTTGGAGGATGTTACCACCTTTACATATCTGAGCAGCATCATCGACGAGAAAGGTGGATCGGATGTAGATGTGAGGGCGCGGATTGGCAAAGCAAGGGCTGCATTTCTACAATTGAAAAATATCTGGAACTCAAAACAACTATCAACCAACAACAAAGTCAGAATTTTCAATACAAATGTCAAAACTATTCTACTGTATGGAGCGGAAACTTAGAGAATCACGAAAGCCATCATCCAGAAGATATAAGTCTTCATTAACGCACGATACTTTAAGTCTGTTGACGAGACACTATCAGCAATAAATTACTGTGTGACAGACAAAAGCAGATTCCAGCAAATGAGGAAATTAGGAAAAAGCGCTGAAGGTGAATACGACACACGTTGAGGAAATCCGCCCAACTGAGTCACTGGACAAGCTCCAACCCCGAATCCTCGAGGTCACAGGGGTAGAGGTTGATCAAAAAAAACACATTACTTCGAGAAATGGAGACAGACAAAAATCGGACAGAACTAGAAAGGAAGGCTTAGGATAGAATAGGTTAGAGAATGCTCACTGGGCGGCCTAGGCTCCATTGAGGGTGACTAATATTGTACACGATATCGATACACTTGTGGTGGTGGTGTTTGGTTTCTCTGAGCTGGATGTTTTTGTTGTGGAGCTTTCATAATTGTTCTTCTGAACAACATCATCTGCACAAATATACAAAACTTCAGAGTCAAAGTCTGCTTGAACTCATCGATCTATGCTTAACACAACGTATTTTTTAATTCAACAACAGATTTTATGAACAAACAAAAGGAACACCGATGGGATCACCAATATCAGGACTCATCGCGGAAGCGGTAATGCAGAGACTAGAAGCGTCGATTTTACCAGTGATCAAGCCAAAAATGTGGGTTCACTATGTAGACGACACATTCGTCTTCATCAAAAGGAACGAGCTGGAGAACATCTACAATCAGATCAACAACGTCTTCGATGACATTAAATTCACAATCGAAAAGGGATTAAACAACAGCCTATCATTCCTGGATGTGCTAATCACCAGAAGTAACGCAGGAAAACTGGAAACTCAAGTATTTCGGAAGCCATCCCACACAGACGTAATTCTCAACCGAAGAACCCACAAAATCAACTGCACACAAACTTTGTTCAAGAGAGCGAAGACACACTGCAGCACATATGAAGCACTAAAAAACGAGGAAAAACACCTTGTCACTATCTTCCAAAAGAACAGCTATCCACGCAACTTCATCAAAAATCATCAACCAAAACCGTCAACAGAACCGAAATCAAGTACAGAAACCAACAAACGCATCATCCTGAGATACATAAAAACATATCAAAACACACAGCACGACTACTGAAACCATTTGTAATAGGTGTGGCACACAAACCGACAGAATCACTTCAATCAATCCTATGTAGACGAAAGGACCAAATGACATAGGAAGATAAATCAAATATCATCTACACAATAAATTGCTCAGATTGTGAAAAACATTGCATAGGACAAGGTGGACAGCCTCTTCAGCTTCCTTTTACGTGAACACCAATTAGCAGTCAAACGTTACGACAATTCTTCGCTTATATCAATGCACACCAACAGTTATGGACATACTACATTCGATTGGAACAATGTGGAAATACTGGGTAGGGGGAGGACAAAATATACTAGAGAATTTTTAGAAGCTTGGCACTCAGGTCAATCAGTGATCAATAAACATGTCTACATTGACCCAATTTATCAACCAATCAGGAAACAGATCAAAAGGGGGATACAATCTAACACAAAGGTACAAACAACCACAGGTTTAATGTCAACAGCGCAACCAATCAAGTTCGAGGTTAGCAGAACAAGCTACAAGTCATACGGTGGAGAAATTCGAATACTTCACTTCTATCTACTTGAAGTTTGTGCTGACGATGATGTTGTTGTTCAGTTGAAGAAGAAGTAGAAGACTGATGAAAGCTTCACTACCCAAAACAACATCCAGCTCAGAGAACCAAACACCACCAGAAGTTACTTCTTAAAACCAGACTTTCATTCACCAATGGTCCATAGGTTAGGCGTTCACGCACAATACCGATGGTCTTGAGTTCGAATCCTGCGACAAGGCAGGAGTTATAGATGCTCACTGCTACTGATGAGTAGCGGTGGTGTTTGGTTCTCTGAGCTGGATGATGTTTTAGTTGTGGAGCTATCGTCATTGATCTTCTGCTGAACAACATCATCGTCAGATCGAGATTAGCAGAACACAAGCTACAAGTCATACGATGGAGAAATTCAAATACTTCACTTCTATCCACCTAAAGTTTGTGCTGATGATGTTGTTCAGAAGAACAATGAAAGCTTCACTACCGAAAACAACATCCAGCTCATAGAACCAAACACTACCACCAACCCCACCGCAATCATCCATCCATCTGAGCTACAAATGCTTCTCCACCATCTCAATCAATGGATAACACCTGGTATTTTGCACCAAATCTTTACTTATTGATTAAAAAAAACTACAATTTCTGTTATTTTCATTTAGGCAATTGGATTCGGTATGGATTTTATTAAAATCACTGGATTGTACAGGATTGATCAATGCAATAAATTAATCCGATGGTATGAATATTATCAACAGTTCATTGATCATCAATTCGATGATGATGAGCATTATTCAAACAATTCAATCAATCAATGGAAGCTGTATGATGATGAGTCATTTTAACTGATGAAAAAGAAACATTCTTTTTTTTTTAAATATGTATCAATCATGTGTAAAATTGACAATTGAACTGAATTGAAAAGTACATTAAAACAAAAAAAATGATTTTGCGGCGTTTTCAATCTCACTCACTCAATTGAGGTGTTGTGTACTTAGAGGATAGTTAAATATGATGATTGGTCAATGAGGGTCATTGGACAAATAAAACACTTAATTTATTGGCTACTAATACTACTACCACTACTACTACTACTACTACTACTACTACTACTACTACGCGACCGTAGCTGCTACCTTGACGTGGTGGTCCAACTTGCCTATCGTCATGACCAAACCGAGCCATGCTGGCTGGAACATATGTTCCTGAAGGTTCTACTATGCCAGGCAGGTCTAGTGGAGAACGATGAGAATAAAAGCAGCTACCCAAGGTCTGAGGGCGAAGTCGTACTGCTGACTACTGTGGAGGGGTGTGACAAAAGTAAGGTGTTTCCCTCGGACAACCAGCATCTGCAGAGATGCTGCCTTCTCAGAAAGAAGTAACGAAGAGGTTACAAAAGGTCGACCCTAAAAATGTCACATCTCACCCTACCTCACGGATTTCCGTCTCCGTCGGTAAGGGTGCCCACTAAGGGCTTTCAAGAGCGGAGTTAATACTCTACAAACCCTTCATAAAAAGGCCGTGCGTGACCGGCCTCAAGCAGTTGTCCCTTGGACTCTGCGGTCACGCTCCCAAGTCTCTAAGACCGACATTAATCTACCTTCTTTTTAAGGTTCCTCAAGAAACAACCTTCCACGGTGTGGGCAGCCGGGAAGTGATAACCGCCCTCATACCCCTAACAGCACACGAGACCGAATTGGTCGAAATCAAATCTACTACTACTACTACCACTACCATATATGTAATTCCATTTCCTCTTATCGATTCCTACCATTAATCCATGTGTGTACTTTTTGTCATGAAGCCTATACATTTGTTTTTGATATGATCAAGAAGTCGTTTCGCTATTGTAGTGCCCCATTCGAATGCATAAATTCAGTCATCCAAATCCCTTTTCGCTTAACCACTTATTTCCATATTATAATCACAGGAATACACAGAGGGTAGAAAAATAAAAACCGAAATTCCTCATCATCAACATAACATCAACACTGGTTGACATTCAAATGACTATGGGGTTTTCTTTCCCTTCATCCTGAACGATAAATTTTTTTTTTGAGAAAATGACCATGAATATTTTTGAGAAAACGTGATTGATTTCATTGATATCGAAATACACAGTCAATGTAGAGCTCTTAGGTTTACACTTGTATACGCCCAAATATATCAAGATATGGTTTTGGTTTATTAAGAAATGGCTAATCGCTGACGGGTAACAATCACATTCAAACATGTGGATAGATAATGAGGTGATTATTAGTAAAATACTAATCATTGTATAAACTATTGACTTCTATATGAATCCACAATACAACAACTTTGAGTAGTTTAAGGACGGGGAAGTCATTGAGAAATGGTTGACTAGAGCGAGGACAGGTGTGAATACTATTAAATGTGAAACATAACTGTATCGATTTGAACAGGGTGGGTTTTTTTGTGAAACCTACTTGTGTATGCCTGTGTTAATGGGCTGTGTGTGGCATGTAGGATATTTGTAATGTGGAAAAGTAGGGTTAAAGATATTTAAGTTGTGAACAGGATTCAATGCATGGATATCTGGATAATTTGGTCTGTGTTAAGCCCTAGCATGAGACTGTTCATCAGTGCAATCATACAATCCTGATGAGGAGTCATAGATTGGGACGAAACGGTCGTCCAACGCCTCCAGTAGTCGTTGAATGACAGTTCGTGATATTAATTGTATAAGAGTATGTATGACTGGTGTTAGGATATTCATCCAATTTCCTAAGAGAATTATTGGTCGATTCCTATTGGTTAATTCCTACTGGTCAATTTTATGATCGCCCTAGTAGATGATCAATGTCACGTGCTCCAATGTTGTTTCTGATTGGTTATCCTGAATTTCAATGTCACTTCAAATGTTGCTTCCTATTGGTCGTCTTAATTGTCAATGTCACAGACTTCGATGATGTTTCCGATTCGACCAAAATATATAAATACGCATTATCTGTAACGTTTTATGACCAGGACCAGCTCCGGGATCCCGATTCTCTTTTGGACTCGGACCTCGTACTTTCTGGATGCTTGTAGAATACATGTTCTACTTCATATCAAGTCTTCTTATTTTTACTCAATATGGGTGTTGGTATAATCGGATTAGAAGAGCATGTGTCACCGAATCCTCGCTGTCGTTTTCCCGACTAGGTAAACTCGTAACAGTTCAAACATATCAAAATGACGTGTTTACGTGCAGGCGTAACTGGAAAGTTTACTTAATTTTCTAATTGCATGATTCATTCTGATTATCAACCTTGGCATTTAAATCTCTCATCAGGATGATCAGGTCCTGTATAGTTTATGTAGTCATCAGAGTAAAGACAAAAGGCGAAAATAAAGTTCTCTTTGATGCCAGTATTTACTTGAAATGCGTTCATGAACTGCCCTCCATCCAATACTTTACAAAGTTGTCCATCGAAAGAATTTAGTATGAATGATGAATATCTTCTCAAGTACTATGTACTTGTCGGAGATGGTTCCCTACTGTAATTTAATCGACACTTATGAATAAATCACGAACATAAATCTTCCATTTAACTCAATATCTCACATCAAGGCTCACCTCAGTTGAGCAGTGACGGTAATCAAAAGTCAAGGGCGAATTCAGCTTAGATGAATTTATTTCATGCCATCGTTTACACATGCAAACATTCAGTCAGTCAGTTGCAACGTAGAACTTCGTACGTATGTACATAAGTTCATGTTGCCATACCACATTATTAGCACAGAGACGCAAATGTCAAATTCAATCCCATAGTGATAAAGATGGTAGAGGTATTAATGTTATAATAAAGAAGACTAGGGTTTAAGATATTATTCAAAAAATATAATTCAGTGAGGTAAGGTTAGAAAGACAAAGGTAGAGGTGCTGGCTAATCAGGAAGATTAGGGTTTGAGAGAGCTCAAAGAGTGGATGCACCTGCGCCATTGCAAGCGATTTTGAGCCATGTCGTTCAAGGTCTCTAACCATCAGTAACTTTCGTCTCGCGGACCCCAACCAGGTAGTCTACATCTACCAACATGACTCAGTCCACTTGTCAGTGACTTCATGGATTTCTACCATGTTTTGGTCTGGCCGCCCCTAACTTTCTTCCAACCTACTCCTACACCACAAAACATAGCTCGTCGAGGCAGTCGGTGGTTAGCCATACGTAACACATGTCCCAACCACCTCAACTGATGAAGTTTCACCACTTCATCGATTGATCTGCCATCCTTACCTAGTACTCGTTTCCTCT